ATTCATATTTTTGTACGTACAAATAGCGCCAATATAATTATAAAAAATCGTATTGTTGTCTAATCTTATTGGGCGCTATTTATATTAATAAAAGCAAAAAAAAATAAAACAAAAACAAAAACGACAAAAAAAATTAAATTTGTAAATGCATCATCTTTACTTAGAGTGAGAATTCTCCAAATTAAGTTTTCTGCTCGCCTAAGATATACTGGTCATATTATCAATTTTGCGTATTACTTTTTTAATGTAGCTTTTTATGTTATTACATCCGTACATGTATTCTATCAGTCTAGGGCTAAGTGAATCGCTTGACGATGAACGTTACTTGTCTCTATTCAGATCAAATTATTTCACCAAATTCTGTTCACAATCGAACCTAATTTTAATTAAGAACATGCAATCAGTTATAGTGATCTGTAAGTCTATATTTCTTGTCGTCTGCAGGTTGGATTCATTTCTGATTACAAAGCAAAAATGACCCTTCAGCAAAAAGACTGTTTCTATGATGGTACGACTCAGCATGAACTTCTTCATGTTCTTGGTAGGGTAATGTCTTCTCAATATGATTTTTAAAATTGTATTTTATATGTCAAAGGTTTCTATCACGAGCAATCACGTCCTGACCGTGATAACTATTTGGAAATTCATCTTGAAAACGTCCAATCTGATATGGTATGTATATTCTTTCGTTTAACAGAGTGAATTGCCTTTGTATTTTAGAATCATAATTTTAACAAGTACGAATGGGGCTCAAGGGTTTACAATCAAGACTTTCCTTATGACTACTCATCATTGATGCATTATGGTAAAACGGCGTTCAGTAGGAACGGAAAATCAACCATAATTCCAAGAAAATGTGATGTTGTTATAGATCTTCGTGAAAAGTTGAGCGAACAAGATATTACTGAAGTGCGCGATTTATACAAATGTAATAGCTAGAAAATCATTCTATTTCTTCTTTTTCACACAATCGTTCTTGCCTCTCAAACATAATTCTTGCATCAGCATGTTGATGAATAAATACGACTTGAAAGCCTTAGGGCAATTTCATATTTGAAAAGTGAAGATGAATATATCTTGTATTATCGATTTCTGTTCGTTTCACGAGCAAGATATAACTATCGATGTGCATGTAAGTATGCGAGTTTCAGTAAAGAGAAAATTCAAAATGACACCCACATCTTTGATCAAAACCTCATGAAACTAGTACTAAATTGTTGGTCTTAATGCCTTCCAATTTTTAGAATGAAATCATGACGAACTTAAATGAAAACTTTCGAGAGATAAATATTATTAACAGATATTTGTTTATCGAGTGCACTATTTTCATGAAAGATACAAAGAAACTTAAGGAGTTACTGTTAAATTTTGTTCTTGAATCAAATATCCAATTGTCGATATTGAAAAATAATTTTTCAAAATTGAAGTATCAACAGGCTGTTGAGTGAAAGAAAATACAGCTTATTAAAGAATACTTGACTCCACATGAAGTATGATGCAGGATTATTTAAAGCTAAATAAATCGCTTTTAACGTGCTGGATTTTACAAGTAGAGAAAGAATAGTCGGATTCACTCTTAGTAGATTTGGCATTTTCGAAATTAATCCGAAACTACATCAAATTGTTGCATGCATTTCCTTATATATACGGTAAAATTATCACAACGTAAAAGGATCTCGTCAACAAATAAGGACGAAAAGGTATTATAGAAATGTGAAAGTTTCACTATGTACATAGAGAATTTGGATTATAATGTGGCATAATTTGAGGTTAATTTATCACAAAAGTAGAGCAAGAAAAATATATTGGTGTACAGTCTTGGAAAACGTCTTGTGACTCTAAAAAATTCTATACTGATAGACACATCAGAGTCTTGAATTCCAAAATCGATATAATTGTATTATCTCTAATTTAGGATATTTTATAATAGAGATATTTCTCTCGTGACATATTGTCTTACAATAGAATATAGACTGGGTTTTAAAGGTATTTTTAAAGAACAATCAAATGCGTGTTTAATAACAACATAATTAGCATAGAAAGAATTTTGTGAGAGTTACATTGTTGAGTATAGAAAAAAATTAACTCTTGTTAGGTACATCATAGAAGAGTCGGGAGCTTTCTAATGTATCGATCAGTTTACATTGTTTTCATTTGATTGAATTCAAAGTCCATCCATTAGTTGAATGTTGAATGAGTCATCGTCTTTTATATAAATGCTACTAGCGCAACGATAAAATGCTTTATTCATACAAAATGTTTTGCTCATAAATATCGAATTAAATAAAAAATAAGACAAAGTGATGCTTGCATTGTGTGTGATGAAGATAGGGAACGCTTCGAAGTATGCTTTAGTAAAACAAATAGAATTAAATGACAATATAGAAAAGAATTGAACGAGTTTCAAGTTTTTGAATTTACTTTATTTGATTAATCAAGCTAATTGATGATTTCATAGTCCGAGGCTATTATCTTGTAATTAACACCATCACACAACATCAGAATACAAAAAAAAAAAAAAAACAAACATTCAAGTTTAACTGTTTGTTGACGACCACTTATGTGCATGCATAGAAAGCTATATTAAGAAACGACTGATCGATAGAGAATAAAAAAGACAATGCATTTTATCGATTTTCGTCGTCATGTTTCATCAAGGTAAGCATAATTGTTTTTTTCAGTAACTGCATTACTTGTCATGCATTGTATTATGAGTGCAAATAGAGTCTGTGATGAATTTATATAATATGCTGAAGTCAGATTTCTGTTTTTACTTTTATTTCTTTGTTAAACATCAGTTTTCAACTGCTTTCATTAAACGTTTTTATCACCATGTATTATACTGAAAAACGTGGTGATCATTGGAGTTATGATGATCCATCCATATGGCATGAACATTTTCTAGCTGCTAGCGGCACTTCTCAATCACCTATCAATATTAAATCTCACCAAACGGTTGTTCAACAATATCCACAATTCGAATTTTCTCTTGATCACAAAAGTCAAATTATGTTAGCAGTAGTAAACACTGGCCATCATGTTATTGCAACCCTGCCAAAACATGCTCGGAGTCAAAGTCAAACGGATTTATCGGTTACTGGTGGTGGTCTAACTGGAAAATTTGATTTCCTCAAGTTTCAATTACATTGGGGTAGAAGTGACAGACATGGATCTGAACATGAAATTGATGGACATACATTTCCAGCTGAAGCACATGTTTTCTATAAAAATCTTGAAACTCAAGAAATTCCTGTATTTGGATTCTTTTTCCATGTTGTTCATTTATTTAACGAGGAAAATAATGAATGGAAGAAATATTCACATATTGCTAGTCTATTAACAAAGATTGGTGATACAATGAATTGTACTTTCAAGTTAAGTCATCTGATGCAAATTGAAAACAAACGATTTTTTCGTTATATGGGTAGCTTAACAACTCCACCATGCACTGAAGGCATTATATGGACAATATTTGTCGATTCAATTCCGATAACTGAAGAAAGTTTAAACTTACTTCGTCATAATGTGATGGAAAAAACTTATCGACCAGTTCAACCAATAAATCACCGAATTATTCACAGAAATTATGATCTTTGATACACAAGTTGCATTCTTGAATATTATTGTTGTTTTTCTTGAAAAATAAAATAGAATATATCAAGTTAAGGTATATGTACAAATTCACCTATAGTCAAAAAGTGTAGATCACTGCAGTTCAGATCAGAGCTATTCAATAAGTTTCTATTCTACTACTATTTCATTGTGATAATCTGAAATCTATATCAAGGAAATCATTTTCTTTTATTGAATTCTATTAGAATCGACCATATACATCAATTTTTCCAATAAGATTTCACAGAATTCAGCACTTTGGTCTTTCGTCCTAGAAACTCAATATGAACAATTTCCTAGTTGAGTCCTATAGAAACTCGATGATATTTGATATCTCACTGATGGAAAACTAGAACTTCCGACGGTCAGTAAATATTGGAAATAATCGAATCATAGTTTTTAGCTATACAACCATTATTACCATAGATTTATTGATCTAGTACTTGATCAGTAGGTGATAACGTTAAATGGATAGCTCATTGAGAAGAAGTTTGGTCGATTAACATTATAGAAATTCTATTTTACTTTATCAATTGGTGTCAAATAATCAAAAATAGAATAACTTGTCTATATAATGGTTTTGACGTATTTTTGATGCATCGTCAGTGTCTAGTATACTGTATTCATATTTAGTTAACTCAATTCAAAAAGAAATAATTCATAATATTTCATTTCAGGCTCCTTCTAATGTTCATCTTGAACTGTCTGTTGATCCTTTTTTTCATAATTGGAACATTCCTACTTGAACTTTTATGCTGATAAATTGTCAATATAGGAATCAAAGAATTGTGAATCATACTCAGATGGAATAGAACATCATCTTATAAATATTTGTGCTCTATTACAATGAATTTGAATACTTTTCGTCGATTGACTATCATGAAAAAAATAAGATATACTTAGAACAATCCAAAAAATAGAGGCAGCGCTACTTTAAAACCGTACAGTAGGCTTTAGAAAACTTTCTCTTTCGATATAGTGATAATACAAACGGCACTCTATTTTTCTATGGTATTTGATCATTATTCAGCTAATGTCATAATAATAAAATTTCAATAAGACCTATGTTTCTGTTCTCTACGACGGTTATATTAATGCTTATTCAAAAGGCAGAGTGAATATTCGTGAATAAATTCTGATAAGAAAGTGGTAAAGAGCTGCGGTTTTCATCATTCCAAAGAATGATTGATTCAAAACATCCAAAAATTGTATAGTTTTGTAGATCTTCTATTAGTGATTTCCATATACAAGTGAGGATTGAAAAATTGTTGTGAACATCTCATGCAGTAGGTTTCTTTTTAGAGAGATTGATTGAAAATCTTTAAAAAAAATCATCCAAGAAAAAAAGCATATATATTAATGATTCAATGTATCTTTGTGTTTCTCTTTCGAACAATAAAAATCGCAGCTCTTTTCTTCTTTATTATCAGAAGTTATTCAAAAAAATACTTACTCAACCTTTTCAATAAGCATTAATGTAACCGTGACATAACATAGAAATATATTATTTAGATATAAGCTCAATAATGATCAAATACTATAGAAAAATAGAGCATAGTTTTCTAAAGCTTGTCCTACGAAAATGACATGGCACTGCCACTATTTTTTGGATTGCCCTAAGTAATATGTTTTATAATAGAGATATTTGTTTTGTGAAATTTTGTCTTATAAGAGAATATAGACTGGTTCTCAACGGTATTTTTGCAGAAAAATCATATACACATTTAGTAACAATATAATCAGCATAGAAAGAATTTTGTGAGAGTTACATTGTTGAGTATAGTAAAAAAATTAACTCTTGTTAGGTACATCATAGAAGAGTCGGGAGCCTTCTAATGTATCGATCAGTTTACATTGTTTTCATTTGATTGAATTCAAAGTCCATCCATTAGTTGAATGTTGAATGAGTCATCGTCTTTTATATAAATGCTGCCAGCGCAACAACAAAATGTTGTATTCATACAGTATGTGTTGCTCATAAACATCCAATTAAATAAAAATAAGGCAAAGTGGTGCTCGCATTGTGTGTGATGAAGATAGAGAACTCTTCGAAATATGCTTTTTGTAAAACAAATACAATCGAACGACGAAATAGAAAAGAATTGAATGAGTTTCGAGTTTTTGAATTTATTTTGTTTGATCAATCAAGCTTATTGATGATTTCTTAGTCCTAGACTATTTTCTTGTTATTAACACTATAACACAACATCAGTGTACAGGTAAAAAACAAATATTCAAGTGTAACTGTTTGTTGATGATCATCAATGTACATGCGTAGAAAACTATATTAAGAATCAATTGTTCGATAAAGAAAGGAGAAAGAAAATAAAAAACATTTTTCAGTAACTTCATTACTTGTCAGGCATTGTATTATGAGTGCAAACGGAATTCGCAATGCATTCACACAGTGTGATGAAGTCAGATTTCTTTTTTTAGTTTTATTTTGTTGTTGAGCATCTGTTTTCAACTGATTTTGTTAAACATTTTTATTATCATGTCTTGTGCCGAAGAGTCTGATGATCATTGGAGTTATGATGATCCATCCAAATGGCATGAGCATTTTCCAGCTGCTCGTGGTACCTCTCAATTGCCTATAGATATTAAGTATCATCATACGATTCCTAGACAATATCCGCCATTCACTTTTTCTCGTGATAGCATGAATCAAACTATGCTAGTATTGAGAAATACTGGCCATCAAATTGCTGCAACATTACCACAACAATCTGAAAGTGAAAATCAAACGGATTTGTCGGTTACTGGTGGTGGTCTAACTGGAAAATTTGATTTCATCAAGTTTCAATTACATTGGGGTAGAAATGACAGACATGGATCTGAACATGAAATTGATGGACATACATTTCCAGCTGAAGCGCATGTTTTCTATAAAAATCTTGAAACGCAACAAACTACTGTATTTGGATTTTTTTTTCATGTTGTTCAGTCACTTCACGACGAAAATCATGAATGGAAGAAATATGCACATATTGCTAGTCTATTAACAAAGATCGATGATAAAATGAATTGTACTTTCAATTTAAGCCATCTGATGCAAGTTGAGAACAGACGATTTTTTCGTTATATAGGTAGTTTGACAACTCCACCATGCACTGAAGGCATTATATGGACAATATTTGTCGATCCGATTCCAATAGCTGAAGAAAGTTTAAACTTACTTCGTCATAATGTGATGCGAAAAGCCTATCGACCACTTCAACCAATAAATCGTCGAATTATTCATAGAAATTACATTCATTAAGAAAGGAGTTACACGTTTAAATATTATTATTGTTTTGATTGAAAAATAAAATTAAAAATACATGGCTAAGATGCATGTATACAGTCAGTCATACTTAAAACTGTAGCTCATTCTAATTGGAATCAAAGTAATGCGATGGAATCCTATGAGGTGTAGGTGTGAAGCTTTTCTTCATTCAGGCTACATTTTCACATCCCTAGTTTTGATACGTCAAGATCATATATATCAACAACGCTGATAATACAACACTTTAGATTCCAGTTCAACAGCTATGAATCGATGTTGATTTTTTTGTATTCCTTTTCTACAAAATCATCATTGTTCGATTTTGTTAGATTTACAAATATGACAGAAAACAAGTCTAGAAAGCACTTCTACGATATACAGTGATTGAGATTTAAAACTTCATTCTTTTTTGTCTTAAGTTTGACATTTCCAGTACCTTTGCAATACACAGATCTTGTCACTATATAAAAGGAATTGCAATCAGCAAAGGTATAGCTGGATTCATTTTTGATATGATTTTTTTCTATTTTTGAAACCAATTGGAATGACTGCTGGTCGCTTGATAGGAGTCTGTTTATTCAATTATGAGCGATTTTATTAAGAGTGAAGAGTCATAACTGAATTTACTAATATTGCACAAAACTTAATTTGTTTTTTAAACTCAAGAATATATCCTTTCTTTCGTATTTATGTTTAATTGTTTGTATAGTAAATTCTACATACATTTATTCATTTTTTATTTTTGTTTTATTCGAGAAACGACTAAAACGAGCATCGATTCAAGTGAATGAGAGTTCAGTTGAGATAAATCTTACTTAAACTCATCACAGCAATGATCACAAGATTTTGCAATATTGTTGGAAGTCTCAAATGGAAAAATAAAGAAGACAAATGCAGTGTTTACATATCTGCATCCACACCCACCACCCGATCACTTTCTATTAACATGTTAAATTTTATTCATAAACAATCGTACATGACTTTTGCTCTTATAAATCAGAATGAAGGAATTTTTGTGAACATTCTTGAACTGAATTTCAATAGAAGCAATGTACTGGAATTATTCTAATATGACCCTCATTTATCGGAATGAGATTAAAAATTAATTCATTTTATATAAATCAAAATTAAGAGAAAAATATTTCTTTGTCCAATCTAAGTTGCTTTTTGATTATGTAATACTTTACAATCATAAAATATATAAGTATAAATAATAATCATGATGAAAGTTTATCATTTCATCTTAGAATAAGCAAAGTATAGTGTTGTAATGAATTCAAAAATATTCTACTTCCTAATGATCGATGTGTTCCAGTAGTCCATTGCATTAACAACGATACATAGTATTTTGTCTTATATTTTCACAATCATTTTTCATAATTAATAAAAACGAAAACAAGAAATAATAATTAGTGTAAGACATCGATTGTAATATTTGCTTTTTTTCTATTACTCTATCGAAGCCAATATCGATCAGCATACACTAATGTCGTACGATGAAATTTAATAATAAAAAAAAATGTTAAGTCACTTATATTTTCAAGGGCGCGATAATGATGATATTATTTATTAGTTCATAAAGGACCAAATAGTAAAGTAAGTATCAGCTTCCTGTCGAAGAATACCACGTAACAAATTTTTTGCCAACAAAAGTGCTTGTGCGGTAGTGTTGGGTAGGTATCAAGTAACATGTCGATACAATTCACCGAAGAATCTAAATGAAGACAAGACAGATATCAACACATATACTCTTAAGTTCTATTGCCTTCAATTTTTGCTCTGAACATCATTCAGTCCAATTTAATGATGGTAAATCTCTACCAATGTCAGTTAACTGAAAATTTTTCAGACACACCTCTTCTATCACAGATATCTATACTCATTCGATGTTAATGTCTTCTTCAGTACAAAAAAACAATTCAGTGTTTTCTGAAAAATCTCGTTCACAACTTCAAGAATGCTGATCAAAAAAGATTATCAATCGCTTAAGAAACTTTTTCACCATAACACCTATCCAATTTTACTTGTGTCTCATTTCAACAATTTAGTACAAACGATTCAACGAACTAAACTTACATAGATCATCAAGGAAAATTACCCGTAGATCGTTAATGTTGGAAAAATATTTTTTTTTTATGTGAATTCATAAGAAGATGTATTGAATGAGTCTTTATATTCATTAATACTTATTTCCAATCATCATCATTTGCTCATGCCGAATACTGTCATACTTGTGATAGATAAATTAATGCTAATGAAATTCAATCAAGTCAAAAGTTATGCTTTGACAATTGTACAAATTTTGGTTCTAGTGCATATTCTTTCTGATGTTTGATCAAAATATTGAAAAAAGTTTCAATATGTTTTATAAAATGCATTGCATTATATTAATTTAATTGGATACAAACCCATCGCTTGCTCAAGTATAGGATCAACCAACGTCTCTTACTCAAATAGTAACAGCACAAGAAATAAAAACGATTTACTTTTGCACTATGTAATATTTTACTCATAAACATGCAACTCAGGGGTAATAATGTAAAGTCATGCTTGAATGAGACTCAAATGAAGATAAACAACGCTTCAAAATATATTTCAATAGTGACACAAATACAGATAAATGACAGAACATCGAAGAATCGAGCTAGTATCGAGTTCTTGAATTCATAGTTTTTGATCAACCAAGCTAATTAATGATGTCATAGTCCTACACTATTTTCTTATTATGAACACTATAGCACAAGGTCAGAAAACAGAAATAAAAATCATATATTCAAACGTTACTGTTTGTTAATTATTGCCGATGTACACGTATAAAGAATTCTGCTTGAAATCAATTGTTCGATCGAGAATGAGAACAAGAACAAATTTCATCGATTTTCTTCAGCATATTTCTTCTAGGTGAGGGCAGTTGCTTTCGAATGATAATCGAAACTAATTTATCAACAAGTATAGTTTGCTCGATAGAGAAAGGAGAAAGAAAAAGAGCCCATTCTTTTTTCAATAACCTCGTTAATTAGCACACATGGAGTAATGATTGAAAATGAAGGTCATAGTAATGCATTTATCTAGTAGAATGAAATCAAATTTTTTTAGTTTTAGTTTGGTGCCAAGCACTTATTGATAACTATTTTGCTAAACGTATGTCATTAAGCCGGCTGAAAGAAAAAATAGCAAACAAAAGCACATCGAAAAAAAAATGTCGAAGCAGTCAATAGTAAAAAAGTTGGCAATCATACGACTTTGTTGAAAAAAGTGTATTTCAACATTCTTGACTAACAAGATGAAGATATTTTATTGCATACAAAAAATAATCTATGTTTAACTATGCCAACAAAAATAGTAAATATATCAAAAATATTCAGAAACAAAATGAACAATAAGACTATATATATCTTTTATGTGAGTCAAATGTGCGTGTAGATGATAGTCCTTGCTTCATTTTTAAACTCGAATTACACACATCACTGCTTCATAAAATTACTTAATAACAACTGGAACATGTTTGGTTTTTTTTAACGGCATATATTTTTTCGTCATTTTTATACAATCGATATTTTTTTGTTTACTATGTTTTTTTTTCGAGTTATTTTGATACATACCTGTATGATTTGTCCCTTTTTCTGTCGTAACTATCTATCTTTAATCCTATCTTTCTTTGATTTTTTTCTCTTTTATTTTCGTTCTCTTGTCTCTCTCCTGTTTTCGTATAAAAAGATGTATTGATGTATGAGAAAAAGCCATTATTGACATAAAGAAAGGGAATAGAGCATAACTGCATCAGTATTAATACTCTTTCTACCTAAACTCTGTTACAATGTCTTGCATCTACATCTTTTATGATTCATCCGAAGTGCCTGAAGGTTCTTCAGCTGATATTGGAACTTCACAATCGCCTATTGATATTAAACTTGCAGAAACAGTCGCTCACGAATTTTCTCCATTCAAGTTTTCTCCTGATCATGACAATGAGATTACTCTTACTTTGAAAGACGATGGGCATCAAGTTAGTGCAGTACTACCAGAAGCTTCTGAAAGTGAAAAGGAACCGGAATTATGGTTTACTGGTAGTGATCTAACCGGAAAATTTAGTTTCGTCAATTTTCATTTACATTGGGGTACAAGTAATCACGATGGATCTGAACACACATTTCACGGACATACATTTCCAGGTGAAGCACATGTTGTCTATAAGAATCTTGAAACTGAAGAAATCGCTGTATTGGGATTCTTTTTTCATGTTGTTCATTCACCTGACGAGGAAAATAGACAATGGAAGAAATATGCGCATATTGCAAGTCTATTACAAAAAGGTGATACAATGAATTGTACTTTCAATTTAAGTCAACTGATGCAAATCGAGACTAAACATTTTGTACGCTATATGGGTAGTTTGACAACACCACCTTACACTGAAGGCATCATATGGACAGTTTTCATTGATTCGGTTCCGATACTTGACGATTGCTTACACCTTCTTCGCTATAACGTAATGGACGAAACTTATCGAGAAGTTCAACCAATAAATGATCGGGTTATTTACAGAAATTATACTGATTGACAGACAACTTACATGCTTGAACATTGCTATTGTTTTGCTTGAAAGATAAAACAGAAAGTGCATGATAAAAATACATACACATATTCAGCCATAGTTAAAACTTTAGGTCATTATAATCCAGGTCAAAGCCATTCAATACGATCCTATCAAATTTCTTCGCAGAGATTTTTGACGGTCGAATCATTTCCGATTACTGAGAATCATAAAAAATACGTTCATCAAATATAACACTTTCGATTGCAGTTTAAAAATAAGATTCTTTTTTTTGATGCTATCAACAACACAGGCACTCGTTTTTTTTCGATATCTGCTCCTATGTCCATGGTTTTTATGGATTTCAAAAGATTTAACTTCTTTTTAAAACATGTGCAACAAGCTTTAGAAAGATCATAATCAAAGATCTAAAGAATTTGAAGTCCATGATAATGATAGAAGTTCAAGGAAAATAGTTTTAAAAAAGTGCAGATTATTGGTGACATTGAGAAAAATTTAATTTTTAAATTCTAACAGAAAATTTTATATTTTCTACTGACTAGATTTCTATTTCAAATAGACCAAAAACAAGTTTCGATTTAACTGAATCCATGACGGAGTTATTTTTATTTATTATGTGATCATAACTTTTGAGATACTCTGTAGAATAGCTTAATAAGCATATACAATCATTTTGACGTATTTTTTATGCATCACCAACATTAGGTATACCTGGTTTCTGTTTAGTTAAATTAATTGATAATGTTTCATTTGAGTCATCTTTTCATATTCATTTTGATCTATGTCTTTGTAAATCATACTTAAATGATATTGAACGTAGTATCATAAATGTTTGTGCTTAATTTAAATGAACTTGAGTACTTTCGTTGATTGAATGTCATTATAAAATAAAATATATTCTGCATAAATAGGTAATGAATCAATGAAAGATAATTGTGAAGATGTGGTGAATGACAAGTAATACATCATGAACTTATTGATAATTATGGCTATTTTCGTTAACCGATCGATTAAAAATGTCAGCATTCTGAAATGAAGTCAAGTATCTAAAAAATTTCTTGAGCAGTTCTATGGAATCTCAGATGCAATAATCTGCGATTTCTCCAAATCAAATGATATGGGATTAATATTGTAGAAGTGTATGAGTTTTATATACAATAAAAATCTTATGGTTCTTTATTATTGTGTTCACAGAATAGAAACTCCACGATTCTTGAGTCCATTCTAACACTTCAAAAATGTCGAAAATCTTGTGGTTAGATTTTTCTGGAATCTATGAAGCAACAGCTGGATTCATTCTTCATATGGTTTTCGTCATTTTTTAAACCAAGTGAAGTCACTGCTAGCTGCTTGATAGAAGCCTACTAAGCTGGTTTAGCCAGAATTGTATATTATTATTTTTCGATTGAAAAATTCAAATGGAGAACCTACAACCAACATACGAGAAGCTAAGCAAAGTTCAAATCGAAACGCAACATCAAGTTCATATGAAAAATAAAAATAAGATCTATCAAAAAAAAAGTCAATAATTTGGAAACATATGTTTTGAAACATTTAGACGTGTTTATTCAACCACGGTCTATTTACAGAGCGATAGCTACATTCACATTTTCACACTGCGTCATGTGTATCATCTACGCCTTCACTTCATTGATTGACTATTAGTTCATTAGCATGAAAATACATAATCTATTTTTATATATTCTGTGTTAAATGTTAACTTAACATATATTCACTTTCTGCTAACATGCAAAATTTTATTCATGTATAATTTGTAATCTTTGCATCCATAAATAAAAATGAGGAAAGTCTTTTTGTGAACATTCTCGAACAGAGCTTACATGAATCAAAAATTAAAAAAAAAACAATATCTATTTGTTCAATCTGAGTTGATCTTTGATATTCAATCGTGGAAAATCATAAAAGTTTATCATTTCAGAATAGAATAAGCGAAGTATAATGTTGTCATTCAGTTAAAAATATGTTACTTCGTCATGATTGAAGTATGCCAGCAGTCCATTCGTATACTTTAATAATCATCTTTCGTAATCGATAGAAATAATCAAAGCAAGTTGTAATTAATCTAAGTCATCTATCGTAATATTTGTTTTTTTTACTTATTACCTTCTTGAAGTCAATACCAGTTAGCATATACTAATGCCGTATGATAAACCAAAAAATTACCATAGAAATGTTCATCACATGTATTTTCAACAGCATCATAATCAGTCTTCTGTTCAGCGGCATTGAAATCCTGCACAAAGTCAATTTCCGTTGATCGAATCGAATTGCTATTAGTGAAGATCGATTAACAAATTGTTTTCGAGAGAAACGCTTATATAACAAGGCTACACATCAAATAACAGGTCCTGCTTGGATTTAAGCCAGCGTCGATGCCTGTCATCGGAGAGTATGAATGAAGACAAAGAAAACCCCAATAGTCATACTCTTAAGTGTCATTTCTCTCCATTCTTTTTCAGAATATTATCCAGGTCAAGTTGATTATGGAAAATCTCTACCAATAGAAATCGAGTGTCAGCTAAATGAAATTTTTCCTGACGTACTTCTCTCCTATTACAAGTATCTATATTCATTCGATGTTTTCTGAAAAATCTCGTTCACAAATTCAACAATGCTGTTCGTCAAGGTTAAAGGAGTCGTCTATCAACCTTTTTCACCGTAACTTCAACCGAATTGTACCTGTGTCTCATTTCAACAACTTATTTTACAGATGGTTCAATGAACTGAAATAATGTAGACAGAAAAGGAAATGTAAGTAGCAAATCTTTGGTCTTGAGAGAATATTTTGATATGTATTCTTAATAGGATGCATTAAATAAGACTTCATGTTCATTAATGCTTGTTTTTAACATGTATCTTGTCGAATTAGAAAGTGAATTTTACTAGTTTATGCAAACCAATCATCATGAGTTGCTCATATCGAATATTGCTACACTTGGAATTGATTAGTTGCTACTAATAAAATTATTTCAAGCAAAAATTTTATACTTTGACAATCGCACAAACTTTGATTCTAATACATACTCTTTCTGATGTTTAATCAAACTGATGAAAATATTCAAAAAAGTTTCATTTTAATTGATAGTATGCATTACATTGTTTTAATTTAGTTGAATTTAAAACTCATCGATTGATTGAATATTGAATCAAACAATGTCTCTTACTCGAATGCAAACAGCACAAGAAGAAAAATGTTTTATGTTTGTACCATGTGTTATTTTACTCACAAACATGCAATCAAATATCAATAAGATAAAGACGTGCTTGGATAGTGCACACTGAAGACAAAAAACGCGTCGAATATATGTTTTAGTAACACAAATACAGTTATAATTAATTGATAATGTCATAGTCCTAGACTATTTTCTTGTTATAAACATTATAGCACAACATCATAGTGCATAAAAAAAAAACGAGCATCCAAACGGAACTCGTCGCTGATTATCATCAATTTCCATAAATAGAGAACTATATTAAGCAACGACTGCTCGATAGAGAAAAAAGAAAAAGAACGAGTTTTATCGTTTTTCTTCATCATCTTTCATTCTGGCAGGCGTAATTATTTTCGAATGGCATGCACAACTATTTTATCAACAAGACTAGTTTGCTCGATAGAGAATCGAAGAAGAAAAAGAAAATAGTTCTTTTTTTAGTAAGCTTATTACTTGTCGAGTATAGAATTATGAGTGTGGATGGAGATCGTAATGAATTCACACAGTACGACATAGTCAGATTTCTCTTTTTTTTAGCTTTAGATTGTTGTCGAGCATCTCTTCTCAACCACTTTTGCTAAATATTATTATCATCATGTCTTGTACGGAAGAGTCTGATGATCATTGGAGTTATGATGATCCGTCCAAATGGCATGAACATTTTCCAGCTGCTGCTGGTACTTCCCAATCGCCTATCAATATTAAATCTCGCCAAACGGTTGCTCAACAATATCCACCATTTTTATTCTCTTCAGATCATAACAGTGAAATTGCCTTTACATTGATAAACAATGGACATCAGGTTACTGTAACATTATCAAAAGATTCTGGAAATGAAAATCAAACGAATTTATCATTTACTGGTGGTGATTTAATTGGAAAATTTAATTTCGTCAATTTTCATTTACATTGGGGTAGAAAAGACAGACATGGATCGGAACATGAAATTGATGGACATACATTTCCGGCTGAAGCACATTTTGTCTATAAGAATTTTGAAACTCAACAAGTTAGCGTATTTGGATTCTTTTTTCACGTTGTTCGTTCACATAACGAGGAGAATAGTGAATGGAAGAAATATTCACATATTGCAAGTCTATTAACGAAGATTGGTGATACAATGAATTGTACTTTCAATTTAAGTCATATGATGCAAATCGAGAGCAGACGATTTTTTCGATATACAGGCAGCTTGACAACACCACCGTGCAGTGAAGGCATTATATGGACAATATTTCTTGATCCGATTCCAATAATTGAAGAAAGTTTAAAATTACTTCGTCATAATGTCATGCGAAAAGCCTATCGACCAGTTCAACCAATAAATCATCGAATTATTTACAAAAACTATGATCATTGACCGATAAATTATACGCTTGAATATTGCTATAGTTTTGCTTAAATAATAAACTAGAAAATGTATGGCTAAGGATACACGATCTTCCAAAAATCATGACCACTTCATAAATGCAGATAACTCGACTTTTAATCCAGCTTATTCCAAACTTTTCATAGCAAACCACGCTCATGAACAATTTAGAAAATATAGACATTTTTTTAATATCTACACGAATTTTTATGTTTATTCTGGATTCCAGATCATTTAAAGTTTTGATCATAATTTTCTAAATACTTGTTATAATATTTTCTCACGAAAAGAAAGCAAGAAAATCAATGCTAATACAAAAATGAGTTACAAAATGTCATAAACCATTTTCTACCATAGTGATTAAATTTATCAACGAATTACAAATGATAAAAAAAACAATCATTAAAGATCTAAATGATCTGAAATCCATAAGAACAATCGAATTTTAAATATTTGAATTGTAGCAGAAAGTGTTACATTTACTACACACAATTCTTCAATTTCAAATAGAAAAAAGAAAACAATAACTTCATAAGCCTATATAATGAGTTTGACGTATTTTTGATGCATCCCATCAGTATTCAATATATCTTCTTCATGTTTAGTTAAATCAATTGAAAAAGAAATAATTGATAATGTTTCATTTGAGACATCTTTTGATGTTCATATTGATCTGTCTCTTTATAAAACATATCCAGATGACATTAAACATAATATCATAAATGTTTGTACTCCATTACAATGAATTCAAATATTTTTACTGATTAAATTTCATTATAAAATAAGATATATATTTTACATGGATAGATGGTAAATCGATAAAAGACAATGGTGATAATAAGAAAATATAATGCATCGTGGATAGATTGATAATTATAGTTATTTTCATTAACTGATCAATTAAAACTATTTACAATTCGAAATGAAATGATGTATCTAAAAAAAAAAAATTTCTTGAATAGTTCTTTGAATTCTTAGATACAAATTACCGATGGCTTCTACAAATCAAGTGACATAGAATTAATATTGTAAAAGTATATGAGTTATATATAAAGTAAAAAAAAGTCTTATGGTTTCTCATCGTTCTGTTCAAGACATACGAGCTTCATGATTTTTTTTTATCCTATTATAACATTCAACATTGTACACATTTCTTTTCATTTGTATGAAAATGAAATAGTTAATAAAATAATTAATTCTGATTGAAATTTGATTTTTCACCTTATAGTCCTTTAATTTTCTTCAATCACATTCATATCTATCATCTTTGAACTGTTCATATATTTATAGAAAATTTTCCATCATTCTTTTCTTAATATTTTTTTTTTTTTTGATTACAAAAATTAACATTTCTAGTCTAATATAAAATTTGAACAAAAAAAAAAAAAAAAACTTTCAAGTATCGGAAATATTATACCACTTAATTCTTTATTCTTGATAGATGTTATTATTTTTATTGCTTCAATATAAATACATTAACTATAATATCATACTTAAAAATTCTTTCTATTCATCATTTCTTCACTTCATATTTCAACAGGATATACCTGCACGCTCGCAGGCAATCATATTCTCATAGTCATTGCAAAAGAAAAGAAAACAAAATTTCCATTCTCTACTCATTCATATATGTATATGAATCTTGACGAAAACAAAAGGTAAGGAAAACATTAAAAACAGAAGAAAAAAAAAGAAAACGATCGAACGATGAATGAATACTTTTTCTTCCTTATACTTATGACTCATTACCATTGTGTCCACCTTCATTCATTTCATAAGCACGCAAAGGGCAAGCAAAAAAAAGAAACGTTGACACTTTTATTCTCTTAGTCAAAGTAAGTGACAACAAAATTGAGAGATATTTAAACTAGACGATAGTGACCGATGTACACACATAGGATTAATAGAAAACAAGACAGACAATATTAGTTTAATTATTGAAAGTTAATATTTCTATTTACATCAAGCTCAGACGGACTTATAACTGTACATAGCGCTATCGGATTCAATTTTATTCCATGTAATATACAGTAGCAAATACTTTTCGTTCGTTTGACTGAAGAAAAAAAAAACAAAGCATTCTGGTAGTACAATCCCTGTAGGATTAAAATATGAAATACAATGTGATTACTATATTGTCAATCACAAAGAAAGATTATTTTGTTACCATAATTTTACTTAATCCTTTAGAAATTTTTATAAGAAAGTAATACATAACGAGATTTTTTTTATTGTATATCAACAACATCTATGACATTTAATATGGTAATATTTGTAGAAAATATAGTTCAATAATTCTTTTTTTTTTTTGTTTTTTTTTATAATACTCATAGTACAAAAAAGAAAATCTAATCTGATTATTTAAAAATGTCTTAGCTCATTTTTAATTCAATAATAGGATTATAAAAACATGTATTTCTAGTTCATTATATGAAAGATTTAATTTTAACCTTGATCTTTCATAGAATTGTAACAAAAAAAAAAGATTTTAATACAATGAACATTTGATAAAGACAATGGTAGTTATAAAGAATAACATTCATGATAATAATTGTCAAACAGCAAGAATTATACAATGGCTTGGTAATGAACGAGCAGGTGAAATTTTATTTAAAATACAAAATCAAAAAATTTCCTATATATATATTTGTTGTTTGATTTAATTTAGTTGATGTACCCAATGATTTTAATCTTACATTGTTATCTAAAGAAGACCTTGTTGATCATGAAATAGTTTCATCAAAAGTTGATTGTATTGAATTACTTCGTTTTACACCAATTGTAAGTTTTTTTTTTTTTTTTTTTCATTTTGATCAACATTCTTATTCATTTATAAGTTACTTTCAAGGCTTTCTTTTGTTTAACTATTTTATAAATCTATATATATATATATATATATATCATTCATTTATATTATGTCAACAATCTACGTTATTTCTAGAATAAACATGTTACTACAACATTTAAACGAACATGTTTACATCGTCGTAGTAGTCGTCTAAATCGATTATCGCCCGATGTACAAACATCGGATGAAGCTTACTGTAGTTTATCGTCTCATCGTAGTATACAAAATAATTTAATACATAAAGAATCAACGAGTAATAGTAGTTGTAGTAATTTATCAACTACATTACCTATTTGTACATCATCTTCATCACCAATATTATCAATAACAATTGATGATATATATAATACATTAGATTGTATAAAATATATTAATCAAATGGATAATAATTTAATGAAAGAAAATTTTAATCTTTTACATGAAATAATTCAACAAAATCATGATTTATTACCAATAATAACAAATAAACAAAAAAATAATTCAATAGAATTTATACGTAATATTATTAATAATAGTGAACAAGATTTTAAAGATATGATTAAAGAATTTATTCAATTAATTGAACAAAAATTAATTGATATTGAAATGAATATATTTGATACGAAGTATGTTATGAATAATATTTTTTTATTTTAAATTAACATTGAAATCTTTTTTTCTTTATGAGATATCTATATATAATTTAATATTTCGAATTTCAAAAATCTATCAAATCATTTTTGTTTTTCAATTTGAGATAATATTCATTTGATAAATAATAGAGAATTAACATACAATTAAAAATAAATTTTCGTTTTATTTATTTATTTATTTTTGTTATGTCTAGTATAATAAGACCATCATCTCCAACATTATTTGATAAACTCAATGATCTTCGAACATGTTTAACATCATTACATCGTATAGAAATTGAAAGTCTTCTAGATGTATTTGATAATATACTTAAATTATATTGTTATCCATCAGCATTACCAGAATATGAACAAATAATTATAAATAATCAAGATAATGAATCAAATGAAGAATTATTAAAATTATCACAATATGGTATTGATGAATTAAAAATAGTTAAAATTGAAAAAACTCATCAACCATTAGGTTTAACAATATCACGTACTGATACAGGTATAATATATATAGCACGTATTGTTATTGGTGGTTTAGCAGCAACATCAGAATTATTTCAAATAAATGATCGTATACTTGAAATAAATGATCAATCAATAACAGGTCATACACTTGATTTTGTTTGTACATTAATATCAAATATAAATGGTTTAATTAAATTTCTTCTTGCACCACCATTAAATATAAATAATATATCATATCATACATTTTATGTACGTGCATTATATTCTTATGATCCATATAATGATCCATTAATACCATGTAAAGATATTGGTTTAACATTTCAACGTGGTGATATATTACGTATTGTTGCATATGATGAAAATTTTTTTAATAAAAATGATACATATATTAGTTGGTGGCAAGCTTATCGTGAAAATTCTTATGATATACAAACAGATTTATGTTTAGCTGGTCTTATACCATCAGATAATTTACAACAAAAACGTACTAATTTACTTAAAGTTATATCTGATGATATTGATTCAATATCAACATCAACATCATCATCATCATCATCAAATAATAGTAAAAAGAAAAAAAAATATAAAACATGTTTTACATGTGTAAATTCTAAAGAAAATCGAAAACCTTTACAAAATATTTATAATAATATAACATTTATTCGTGATATTGATGATCATGAAATACCAACAATAAGAACATCAACAAATCATTTTTCATTAACAGATACAAGAATATTTGGTGATGAACAACCATCAATAACATTAAAAAGATTTTCAGATAAAAATAAAGATATAACAAATAATTCTTTTCGTTTTTATGAACCTGTTTTTCAACTTGATCTTTCAACAAAACAAATAACACGACCTATTGTTTTATTAGGTGAGAAAAATTTAATCAAAAATTAGAAATGAAATTTAGTATTGAACACAGATATTTTAACATTATAAGACTGATGTATATATGATAGACTCAATGTAGGAATTAGCAAAAAAATAAAATTCTAAATTATTTGGAATTTGTTTTTTTTTCTTTAAGTATTATTCAACATTTGAGGATAAAATACTTTTGAGTAACTCATTACATATCTTATATAAACGTCAATATTCTTTGTCGTTGTCGGAGACTTATTATAATATTTTCTTAGTTAAATAGACTAAGTAAATATTGAAGTATACATTAGTCAATAATTTGAAATCGAGATTCTTTATTACAAGTGAAAGAGAATTGTATAGAAAATTTGAATCTAACTCTTCTGGAATTTGTACAGATTTTCTTTCTAATCTATCTCTTATATATATATATATATTCTTTTGCTTAGGTGCACCAAATGTTGGTCGACATGAATTACGTCGTCGTCTTTTACAAAATGAACCATATCTTTTTGATGTTGCTATACCACATACAACACGTGCTCGTCGTTTACAAGAAACTCTTGATATTGATTATCATTTTGTTTCTGAAGCTGATTTTTTAGCTAAAGTAGCATGTCATTCATTTATTGAATTTGGTCAATATGATCGTGATTTATATGGTACATCAATTGATGATATTCGACAAATTGTTCATATTAAACAAAAAATTTGTATATTAAATTTAAATCCTGAAGCTATACAAACATTTAATAAAACAGATCTTTATCCATATATAATATGTATAGCTGCACCATCATTTGAACGTCTTAAACGTTTAGAACTTGATCGTCGTGAATATTTAACTGATAAAGATTATCGTGAAATTATACGTAAAAGTCGTTCAATTGAAAGACGTTATCATTTATTATTTGATCATATTTTTATTAATAATGATTTAGATCGAACTTATACAGAATTACGTGATTTAATTGTACGAATACAAAATGATAATAAACAATGGATACGAACATGTTATCAACGATGATGAATGTTAATGTTTATTTCTCTATAGAAAAAACAAAAAAAAGAAAAAAATTTTTTTTTTTTTTTTGTATATGTTAATTTTGTTTTTGTCTTGAATAATAAACAAAGAAAAGAAATAATCTTACAATCTCTATAATTTCTATTCTCTTTGGATATTCATTCTACCTTTTTTTTTTTAATTTTTTTCGCTTAGAAAAATAAAAAAAATTTCTTACGAATTGTTAAATAAGTTCTTTTTTTGATTCTTCACTAAATGAAGTTATTACATATAAAAATCAATTTTATAATATCTCAATTATTTATACTACATAATTCTTATCATATTAATCATTATATTCTAAAATTGATATAAACTATCTAATTGTTGTTTATCATAATGAACATCAGACTATAAACAATTCTGTTCGCTGTTTTTTTTTTTCTACAATATTGACTTCTGTCAGATTAAATCAATAAAAGTAACATTATTTATATTAATCATTCATATCTATCTGAACGAATATATAATTGATGTTACATTTCATACAGAAAACGAACAAATCGCATGTTTAAAATATTTTCATCAATAATAGATTCATCATTTTGTTATAGATTTTTAATCACGAAATTAATATATACAATAGAAATACTATGAACTTAATTTTTCTAATTATTTGAAATAAATAAATATCTCTTACATTAAATGATACATCATTAAGTCATGACTTCATAAATACTTCATCTGTTATTTCACGTAAAAGAAGAAATTCATTGTTTCTTGTATATTATTTTATCATCATATTATTGACCTTGTTTAGTCCTATTGTCCATTTTTCAATCAAATATTTCATCATTTTCAATGCCATTAGTACATTTGATTTCAATTGATAGGAAAATGATGAATTAAAACACCATGAATAGAAGCCATTAAATATGTATAACATGTACATTGTTCTATTTTCACCTTTCTACCTACGTCTATTAAAAGAACTATGTTCAAGGACGATCATCTTTTTCTTTTTTTTTTTTTTATATTTATATTTATAGTTGTTTGTTGATCAACGAGTATATTACATAATTATACATTCTCATAGCCTTGAAATCACTCTTGTATATATATATGTATATTCATATGAAAGAAAGAATAAGCAATGGAAAGAAAAAAAAAACGAAATCTGATCTAAGTAGGCAAGCTAATGTTAGTTCCTTGACAATTTCTATTGATTCGACTGCAAGCGATTACGATGAGGCTTCTTACATTTATGTATACTCCATTGAAGTGGTTAGATATTCAATTCAAGACTGTTCATTCAGTATAGGATTTCACGCTTACTCTTTTTCTATTCACAATAAATCTCTTTTTAATTCGTATTGTTCTTTCTATTATTTGTTAGACAATGTACAGAAATCAATGAAGTGACAACTTTACAATAGTATATAGATAATCAGAACTATCCCATACGCCATGAATGATGATTATTATTATTATTATTTCTATGTTGATATTACATAATATTTCTTGATCGTGCCTTCTAGTTGTTGTTATTGGCGCCATTTTCTATTATAGAAAGATATCAATCTTGACATGTGTATATAGGCATTATGATTGAACAAATATCTCGTGTCTTTCTCATCGTATCTAAATAGTTAATTGAACTTTTCACAAACAAAAATGTTCATCCGATTTGACATATGTCAAAAAGTATAGAAGAATAACTTCTATAGAGTAATTTAAAAAAACATATTTGATCATAGAGCAAGTGACATGATATTGTAATAATAAACTAACAAGCTAATTATGATCTTTTTTTTTTGTTTTTTTTGCGTTGTCTACGAAACATTTTAATAATTAGCAAAAAAGGAAAAGTGAGTAAATGTTCATATGTACACCTGAATAATGTCTATTCACATTCTATATATGTTCAATATTTGAATAAGAGAGTGACAGACTCGTGTATAATTTTTATTTTTGCTTTCTCTGTACATACCTGTATTAAGTACATCGTTGATTCAAAGGTAAGAACGTAGAAAAAAAAAAAAAGAACGTTATCATACGCCGACGGTCAATTGATGTTAACCTTTGCTTATGGATGAGATATCCGTATGTATGTATGTATGTATGTATACATGTTGATTTAGTTGTAGTAGTCACTACCATCAAATTTTGATAAAACAAGAAGACCAAAAAAAACAAAAAAGGTTATTCCAGATTTATTTTTTTTTCCGATGATAATGTTGACCAGATGAATCTCATACGAATGGTATATGTTCTTTTATATTGAATATATATGTATATATATATTGATTGTATGTTTATATTTAGCATCGATGTGCCAATATCAATTGTCTTTCTCACCAAAAGGAAAGTATTGGCAATGATAATAATAAAACGACATTTACTCGAAAAGTTTATCAGGTAGATGCAACAACGATATGGTATGAAAATGTTAAGCTTCAAAAAAAATTGAGAAATATTTGGGATTTTACTTTGATGTCTCTTTTTTTTTTCTACTTGTATTAGTCAATTGATAAAACGAAATGAAAATAAATGTTTATATAAATCATTTGGTCAACTTCTTTATCTTGCATCATTAGATCGATTAGAAAAAAAATGTAATCATCTAAATGATGATTTATTATTAATTAATGCACCAGATTTAAGTAAGATTAATCGAATTTGATACTCTATTGATTGTGTTGTTTTTCATTTAATAGTTTCTGTTGCTATTCATTGGAATTCATTTCAATGTACTACAAGTGATGTTGAAGATTTTATTTCAATTATTGAACCATTTATTTATTTACGAGAAGTAAATATAATAATATTTTGTTAAATAAATTTCTTTGTCGTATACCGTTTTTTTTTAATAGTTATTTTATGACGTTGCTATAAGTGATGCTCGTATAAAACAACTTAATCTCATTGGTCTCATTTGTTTTTATGGTAGTACGATTGAAGTATTCTTTTCCTATGAACATAAAACATCTCAATGGCTCTTTTGTTTTGATGGAAATATAACAGTAGCAACAGATTGGAATGCTGTTATAAGAAAATGTATTGATTTTCATTTGCAACCATTTCTTCTTATCTTTGCTAATTCTCAACAACATCCTGTTGATATAAGTCAATTACTTAAACGAACTGTGATTCAAGCAAAAAGTAATACAGAAACTTTTTTTTTTTTTTTTATTAATTAATTATACAAAAAAAAAAACATGAAAGATAGACTAAAAAATTATGATTGCATCATTAATAGTACATTTTGTTCTGTCTATACAATCATAATAATAGATCTTGCCTAGCTATTGCTTTTATTATATGATGATATCCGTACGTTGAAGAAGAAGAAGAAGGAGAGACAGAGAAAGAAAAAAAAAACATAGAACATTGATGAACGGCAAATGTATAACTTGTTGTTATTCATTTCTTTTTTGTCTTGTCATTTATTGTACTAACATCGATTGATAAGTATTATTATTTTTTTTTTAATTTGTAGTTATACCTTATAATAAACTATTCGAACCAATAAAATATTCAATGTCAAAACAAGAACAAATTCAAACAAATGAAAATAAATTTAAACATGAATTACATTCATTAGAAAATCTTTCAAAAATATCATCATTTGCAACATTAAATTCTTCTATGTTATTTATGCCAAAATCATCGACAACAACAACAACAACATCTTCTTCATATATTAATCAAGAAACTGTTGCTAAAGTCATGCAACAACAATTATTAAAAAAAGAATCATTATCTGATATGACATCATCAATATCTATTCCATTAACATCATCACCTCGTATTCATGTTCGACAACAAATTTCACAAAAACAAAAGTTTGATGATACATTATCGAGTAGAGATTCATCAACATCATCATCGCAACGTGATTCTGGTTTAAGTAGTGGAATTAATGATGGATCAAGTGATGATAGTCCAAGAGATAGTCTTGTAGATAATGAACAAACTGAAATTGATAGTTTAATTAAACAAACAGAACAAATGATGAGTAAGTAGAAATTAATTTAATTGATATTTCTAGTTCAATATAAATGTTTATTCTAATAGATATATATATAATATTAGGATAATAATGATTATTGTTTTTTCCATTCAAAGATTTGATATCTATCAAGGGATATTTTAATTCCCAATAGTGTCTTTGCCATTGAAAAGATCAATATAGGAGATAAGAAAGTTTTTTATTTATGAAATTCATAAACGTTTTAGATAATAAAATTAAGAAAAAACTAAAACTAACTTATAATTGTATTTCGAATAAAAAAATAATGAAAATTATGATCATATAGTTCCGTGATACTTATTTGAATTTTTTTTTTTTTTATTACTTATACATAGTAGTTATAGTGTTGTCAATTAATATGTTAAATTAATTGTTCTTATTCGTATAACGAACATACAACTTTTAGGAGCTATTTTTCAACAGTGATATTTGTTAAAAATAAATCTACTAGGATCTGCAAACTATTGTATCATTAGAAATAAATATAAAATAAAATTTGTTAATTTAGATTTAGATGATAATCATGTCGATATGATGTTAGCTTCAATTGAAAATTATCTTGAACAATCATTAAAATATGAAAGTGCAAGTAATTATTTATCTGCATTAGAATCTTGTCAACAAGCATTATTACTTGTTGATCAAATACTTAATCTAAATATTAATCGTACTAATAATTTATCAATATATGCACGAACAAGAAAAAATAGTTTATTATTAAGAATACGTTCATTACAAAAACGAAAAATTCAACAAGAAGAATTAAATAATAGAATAAATTTAACATTTCAATCTGTAGAAAATATTAAAAAAAAACAAAATAATACAACAATATCATCAATACTTTTATCAACAAAACGATTATCTCGTCCAAAAAAAAATGTTAAATTTTCTGATAATGTTTCATTAATTGTTCCAACATCGAATGATATATATGAATCATCATCTGAACATTTAATTCATTCATTTTTAAGACAAATTCATCAACAACAAACAACATCAGATTCAGATTCTGATACACCATCATCATCATCTATGGAAATTCCTATTGGTTTAATGGAATGTTCTCTTTGTTATAAACGATTTTCAAAAACAAATCAACTTGAAACTTATTGTTCAAATTGTCATTTTTATATGCAAAGATTTCAACCAATAACATCTTAAAATCAAAAAAAAGTTTCTTTTCTATTGAATCTCATTTACAAATATATATTCTGGTGCTAATATTTTTCTTATTTATTCGTTTTTTTTTGTTTGTTTGTTAATATACATGAATTTTACAATAGAAAAAATTTATATATTATATAAAATATGATCTTTCAATAAAACATACACACAACCGTGATTGAAACAACCTTCAAAGAAATTCGGACCCATAGCCATAATCATAAAAAGTTATGGCCAATTAAATGAAATATTTTATCAAGAACAAGGCATTTTTCAAAAAATTCAAAAGAAAAAGATATATTCTTTTTCGTTGAAACTTTCAGATTGAGCCTCTCTTTTTTTTGAATTGTTCAGAAATGTTTTGTAAACTTATTTAATGGAAAGATTTATCTATACTATTGCGTTATTATGTCTTAGTAAAGAAAACGTAGGACGAGTTTAAAAATACGAAAAAAAAGCGTTTATAGAGTTGTTATAGATGAAAAATATATTTACTAATCAAATTTGAACGAACGAAAACTCATCACTACAAAGAATTTAGTCGAACGACTTTATAACAAAAGGATAACTGCTTGTTTCAGTAAGTAAATTTATTTGAAAGAAATAAATTAAATAGATGCAAAAGAAACATTCTTTTACATTTTTCTTAACGATATTCATTGTTGAATCGACGAACGACATACAACAACGAAATTGAAATCATCTGACATGATCACAGTCATATGTTTCATCTATTTCTTTTTCTACCGCGTTAAATAAATAATTAAAAGGCGAATTCATTTACATAGGAATAAGCAAACCAATTTCAAAAATATTTCATCTTCTCGAATTCTATACAAAGTCATCGTGTTTTATGTATTTAGTCATTATTCTTCTAATGTTGCTAAATTTGATAATCTTATAAATGATGAGTTAAGTTTGAAGATGTGCTTCACCCATGTGTCATTTCGTATTTTCTGACAAATATAGAATAATCGGATTCTCAACAAACAGAAATCTTTTAAGAATAAAAAAAACATATAAAATCAACAATTAGTGTCGAAGAACTTAGATGATCTCACTGCAACGGTTCTTTATTACACGCGTCATCATTTCATTTTTATTTTCACTGCGAATTCTTGTGAACACTATTAAACAAAAAATTACAATTACTAGTAGAGTATTCTAACAGAATCTCATTGAACTCAAACATCTTGTTTAAATGTTGTTGTTGGCGGGTGTGGGTAAGAGTGTTCGCCAAGAGAGAACTCACTCGTACACCCACATCTACATCATAATATCATCTGGCTTTTGATTTAACATATTTCTGTATTTGTAAAACCTAAAGGTTTTTAGGCAGAAACCCGCTTCTTTGAAGAACCACTAGCGCTAATTCGACTCTGTATTATGATTCATCACCATGGTCAACGACAAATTACAAATAGTAAAATAATTAGTGAGAATTTTAGATCAATCGAACGTAAATTGCATTGATTGTTTACAATATACGGTGGTATGGCAGGTTTTTAAGTTTGTGAGGCATTTATTGGTTTCAGATAGGTTTTTATTTCAAAATAAGTCGGTAACTTAGCGATAGAAAGGGTGTGAATGTGGATGTGGGGTTTACGTGTAGTTGTGAGTGTTGAATACCGATGCACCGACATTCACATCCGCACCCACACCCAAGACAGCATTTGCTGACAATCGATTATCATTAGAAATGAACTATCGTCTTTTAGGGAATTTAAACATTAGCTATTTTGTCATTAGTATAATGAAACTAAAGAAGATATGTGAGTTCTACATTTCAGCTCCAATGAAGCTGCGCTAACCACCTTTTTAATCTATTTTAATTGATTAAAAAAAGATTAAAATCAAAAAAATTCTTTCTTTAAGACTGAAAAATCTGGTTAAAATCAGATTATAATAGTACCATTATAATTGATAATAATCTGATTTTTAGTCAATTTTTTTTTATATAGATATCCCACACTCACACCCTGTTTCTGTCGCTCTGAATTGGTTTACATGGCAATGATAAAGCTCGTGAACTATTTCTTTTTTTTCTGATATGCTTGATTCGCCACTGTCTAGTTTCGAGAATGATAGACTTCTAGATTTATAAATGCGAGATAGATGAAATCAAAATGCTTTTTCTGATCTATCGAATTTTCTTTGTCTTGTTAACAAAAAGGACTACCATCTAATCGATTTATATTTAACAATTTCTGTTTTTATTTCACCAGTCATTAGTTGCAATAAAACACGAGTCTCTTCATTCTCACAATCATCCTCCCTTTCTCTATAATAAATATTTCTTATGTGTCTGACTTTTTCTTTCAGTTTATCTATTATGTTTACCAGTAGTGATGGTAGAAAATTTTCGTTTCTCTTTCACATGGTTACTCTGTTTTTTTTTATGCTGCAAAAAAACGAGTATACTATCAGTATCATCCATACGCCGACGTGACGTTCTGCTCTCTTATCTAACATTTCTGAAGAAGAGCAAGCATACATTCAGATATTTTCTAATGGATATGGAAGAAGCAATTGTTCGTTTCGAAGCGTACATTTTCACAGGTTGAGCACGCCTAATTAATGATCACTAATTTCAAAGAACAAACTTTCTGCACATATTCAATTGATATTCGGAAAAGTAAGATCACGATGGGTGTTGGTTCATTTTATCGTATCCCATACCAACACTCTCCCTATGATTTTTTCACAGAGTCATGAAGTATTTGTTGAAATCTTTATTTCTTTAACTGTTGACAATAATGTTTTCCTAACATGTGATAATTCATTTTAAAAAATTTTGGTTAAAACGAAATTTTCACGGCCATTTCATTTTATGTAAAGTTCTATGAATGAATTTAATTCTCTGTATCTACTGGTTAGTAGTCGAACTATTTTATTCGATACAAAAAAAAAAGGATTCTTATATATGTATTTGTTAGTCAGTCAATTATTTCAAAAATATCATCCGTACTGATAATTATCACATCTTAAAGAATACTGAAGATATTAATATTCGTACTTTTTGTTTTTTTGTTTTCAGAAATGCCTGAAATCGGTTCATGTACTGATATAACATGTGATGATGGAATCAAAGCATTATATGAATGTCATTGTTGTTTACGTCTTGTTTGTTTACATCATTTGATTCAACATGTTGAAATAACAAAACAAAATAAACAACGATTAGATAATCTTCGTAATGAATTAAATACAGTTATAACTACATTTAAAGAAATTGTTGAAGAAAAACTATTAATTATTGCACGCGATCAAAACTTGATTGAACAAGCAAAAAAACTTCTTGATATACCTAATAGTTCAATTGATGAACTACAAAATATTTTCGAAAAAATCAATCAAACAATAACATTAAATCTTTCAGGTAAAAAATTAATGAGATAATCATTTTTTATTTTATTTTTTATTATAGAAACCGTATTGAAAGTCGAATCATCATTAATAGAAAGTCGATCTTGTTCTTTGATTTGCAAATGTAATGAGAAAAAAGTGAATTCATATGGTAAGATGAATGAAAATTTTCTTAGTTAACAATCCAAATTATGACTTTCTTTACTGAATTTTCGATCTGTAAGTGTCCATAGACATAAATCTGATGATCCTTGGAATAATCTGAAAGTTTTAGTTAAGAAAAGGACGTCAATTTATCGAGATATTACATATCCAAGTATATTTGATTTTGACAAGTGCCTATTTATTGAAGTTTTTCGATGAAGATTCTAGATTATTAAATCGATTAATGGACGAAATTTGTTTATTTTAATTTTGAATAAATACCGAAAGATAAGTCGAAAATTCACTGAAGTGGCTGATGAACGCGATCCCTTTCAAGCTTTTTCACTCTTAGTGAATTTTTGTTGTTGACTTCATATGAGTTCAAATAGTGAGGATCAATTCGTGTAGTTCCCTTGTATGATAGAAAAAAAAAAGAATTTTTTTCTTTGTATGTTTATAATGCAGTGGAAGAATGTAAAAACACGAAAGGTAAGTTAACTTTTCTTTAACTTCAAAAATTAAAATAAACATGCTTGATTTAAGATGATAGATATTCAATGCATATCAATCATGATGTCATTGACACTAATTTATTTAAGTAAGTTTCTTTTCTTTTTATTAGACAAAGATCCGAAATTGATTGCATATTTTTCTTTCGTATAGTGAAACAACGAAATCTATAAAGGTAAAAAGAATTATATTCATAGAAGAGTTGATAAGGTCAGTTTTTAAATTGAAATATCAACTATTGCTATGTCATATCTAAATATTTATTAAACGTAGCAGTGTAACTACGTTACCTAGATGAAACACTACAAAACATGTTTTAAATAGGCGTCACTATATAAAAGTTCCGAAACGATTTGAGTCGACGAATCGAATTCAGACGGAATTCAAAAGTTTCTCTTTTGTATTATGATGAAAAAAACGAGATCGTCTGAAAATTAGATTAGTTGTTTTTGTTTCTTGGTGCTCGAAATAATTGTTTATACTTTCTATTGCACGGTATCTACCCGGATACTTGTGTCCACAACTGATTCTAATTGTGAAGCTTTTTGGAATTTAAGAGATCTGTTTCAAAACTTTTCTGTTAATTAGGAATCATGAACATGATGTTTCTCAGGGAAATTTCACTTTAAACCCGATGACAAGAGATGATTAAATTAGAAAAGTATCAGCAGCAAATTAAATAAAGACATTGCATTCAATACAGGTTATGTAGAAAAGTAAATTTCTGAATTAATTCAGTTTGCGTGAATATTATATTTTATCCTTCATGATCTTGTTATACTTTTTTTGTATTCAAGTCGACATTATACGATACATATTATAAACTTAGTTCGTTGTATATGTCTAAATTAGTTTCACTTTCAATGAAATGAATCCTGCATGATACTTAAACATGCATTATGGTTTTCTTTCCAGAATCAACATGTAAATGAAAAACAAAAGAAACATAACGTAAAATCTATTAGAAATATTTTTGATGAATGTCCATTAACATTTGATGGAGCATATGGTCTTACTCAAGCAAATCATTCTATTGAACTTTGTGAGCATGGAAACAATCGTCGAATTGGCTTATATTATCATTTCATTTATAAACATCAATTAAAAAAATTTTATGCTCAACATTTAGTAAGAGCTGTTGTCAATAATCGAGATCCTGGGACTACAAAATTATTTGATGAAAATGAAGATGTAATTGACCATTTTTATAAAGTGTCATGTCCCTTTTTTAATGGACGAATTAATTCAACACAATATAGTCGACAAAATGTAGAAAACGTACCATGTCAACGTCGTTCACTTCCACTTCGTGCATTGAAAAAGCATTTACAACTTTACCATAAGATTTCTAAACCGTTGGCACAAAAATTAGTTGACGATTTCAAAGCAAATTTGAACAAAAGATGATATTGTTTTGGCTTCACTGAATTCATCAATATGATGAGATGAACAGAAAATTTAAAATTGTTTTCATTGATGTTTGTCTTGTTTTTGTTTTGTCGAATTATTCAAAATAAGGAATTCAATAATTTGAAATAATACAGTCGCAGCAAAAATTGTCCGTGCGATTTCTTTTTTTGGTCAAACTTAGTCAAAATAAAGACTCTTTAAGGTTTTTTGAATACCAAAAGAATCATCACACCACCTAGTATTTATAATAAAAAAAACCAACGTTATTGACTGAGGGCATATGAAATGAGAAGTTAATCTTTGAAAATCATGCAAGTTTTAGACGCATAAATTATCCGTACGATTTTAATAACAGTTACAATGTGGGTGTGGATATGGTTGAGAGTGTGGGTGTGGCTGAGTGGGTGTCGGTATTCCTTTCAACTAGAAACACCCATACATACCGACACCAACACCCTGGCTGAAAACATTTGTAAGGGTATAAAGATTGAGTAATCGACTAATCACTCCCGTTCCGAGATCTAATACATATCAATGTCATTGGTTTCAGTAATACTAAATGTTTTCTAAAAAATCTACACAAATGACACCATCAAGACCGAAATTAGATAGTTTAATACGATAATAAGATTGACATAGATTCCTATGGATTGATCATAAAAGGACAATAGAGTGTTTGACAGTGCCATGGGGGTGTGATTATGAGTTTGGGAATTGATATTCTCTTAATCCGTGCACCCTCTGATTTTGAAAAATGAAGATGTTAAGTGAAATAAGATTATGAGTCATAGCTACAGAAAAGTTCTTTGTTGACACAGTAACAAATGAAACATTGTAAAATAATCGATGAGAAAAAAAGAACGTGGCACGTTTATTTCTTTCATTTATGAAAAAAAACAAATCGGCGACTCACCTATGTTGTCCTATTATAATTGAAAAGAAAGATGAAGTTTGAAGACTTGCCCAACGAGTTATTATTAGATTTATTCGAACATTTTAACTTAATTTATCTTCTTCATGCCTTTAATAGTCTCAATAGCCGTTTTAACAAATTAGTCTTTATTCATTTTCGACATTATCGTCTTAATTTTCAATCTATATCCAAGTATGATTTTGAATATGTCTGTGAACATTATTTTCCATTGATTGTTGATCGAATAATTTCACTTTATCTTTCCGATAATGATGAGACACCTCATTTACCTGAATTATTTTTGTCTTATGGTTATACTTTAGATCAATTCATATATTTACAATCACTTTCACTTTATTCTATTTCTTCGATCAATATATTAAATCAAATAATATTTCAATGTCGTCATCTTCGACAATTGACACATCTTTACATAATTAAATGTTATTTTCATTGTGAAGAAAAAGACAATCTCTTCTTAATGAACAATATTTGGAATATTTCAAAACTTATTTATTGTAATCTTGATTGTTTTCATCCAGATAATAATGTTTTCATTGCAAGTACAATAATATCAGAATCAATCAAATATCTTATCATGAAAAATATCAAATGTGATTTAAATAATCTATCTTATTTATTACAATGTACACCTCATCTTCGACAACTTTATACAACTATTTCGTGTCAATTACAAAATGAAGAATTAAGAAATATTTTTTCATCAATTATATCATTGAAATTAATATATTTAGGTTCAATTGACTCAATGAAATATCTTTTTCAGAATCTAAAAAATTTATCTTATTTAACACTTGAAACATCGAGTATCTATTTAAATGGATATGAATGGGAAATGTTTCTTATTGATATTTTACCACAAATTAAACAGTTTCGATTTA